TGTGTTCTCCGTGTTGGAGAAACCCACTCGGTGGTTCTGGTTTTCCCAGTGTCCGGGTATGGGATGGTTTGGTTCTCTGCTGTTTGTGTTAACGCACGTCGTTGATGTGATTACGTTGGTGATACTTGTGGTGACCATTGTACTTGTCCCTTGGGTTGGGAACAGTGTAGAGTACTCGTTGGGTTTTTCCCTGTTTTTAAAACCGGTAAACCCCTGTGGCTCGGAATATGTGTCGTAACCATTTTTTTTTTGGTTAATTGTATCATATTGGGTGGTTGTGGTTTCATCCCCTCGATTTTGGTGTTGCCCCGGGGGGTTTCTTTGGGTTTCGTTGTTTTGACTTTCCTGGAAGTTTTCCGGGTTTTTTCCGTTTCCGGGTTTTTCCAGTTTTTTGATTCGCTCTGTCAGGCTTTCCATTGCTCCTAGAATCGGTTCGTTTGTGCTTGTCGCCTCCAGTTTCACTAGTCGGTCTAGAATCTCTGCGAGTGTCCGCTCTAGTAAGTTAGTTGTGGATGTTGGGTTTTCCCCGTTTTTATTTTGGGTTTTCCTATTGTCTTGGGTTTTTTGTTGTTCTGTATCGATTTGTTGGTCCTCCTTTTTGCTGCCTCCGGGTGGATGTGTTTCCGTCACCCAGGCTGTTGGTGGTTGTGGGGGATTTTGTTGCGCTTTGTAAAAAACGTAGTTTTGTGGGTTTTCCCCCTCTGTTTCCTGAATGTATTGTTCAAGTGTTAGGTAAAGTTCTGACTTCGTGCCCATGGTTCCTAACCCTCTTTTGGTTAGTTCCCCTTTGAGTTCCCCGATTGTCAGTTCGCTGAGTGTTTTCTGACCAGATTGCATCGTGTACTAACACGTGGAGGTCCTACCTACTACTATTGATTTTGCCTTGCTATCTTAGTTATGTAGGGAGGGTATATTCCCCGTGTTGTTTTTATTTTATTTTTTGGAGGTTATGAATAGGTAATTTAAATTCCTTACCTGTTTCTGGCCTCGTGGTTCTGAAACCTGTACCGACTGCGCCAAATGACACGGTGCCCTGGTTGTGGTAGAGGAAGATGGTACACTCAATAACAATACGGTGTTTATAGTTAATGAATACTTTATTATATATTGAACATAAGTTAACAGGCGTACATAACGTAACGCGTTAGGAATAAGACAGAGGCGCCGCCGCACCGCCGGCGCAGACGTCGGTCGAGACCGCCGTCCCCACCCACGGCACGGGCACCCCCACTCTGACCCGGGTCGAGCGTACCGACGACCGGTCGGGCAGAGCGCACGCCGCGGCCGTTACCCGCGTGGTGGGTAACGACCGCGACACTATCTTAGTCCGTGATTTATACGCACCTATTATTTCTTAGGTATTAGCATTTAGTATTTAATGTACATTACATTTTATTTTACCAACTATATTATGTATATATATATATATATATATTATATATTATCCATTTATTATTCGCTAAAATTCCGAGAAAATGCTCTGTGGATGGCTGTACGGGATCTTCAGAGGGAAAAAAATACACTTTATTTAAAAGTCCAAAAGATGTGGCTAATTTAACTGCTTGGAATGAAGTAACTTCAAATGCCAATGGTCGAAATTGCCTTGCTACATTTGTTTGTGTAAAGCATTTTAAAAACCAAGACTTTATTTATGAATATGCTAATCATCAAAATAATGTATGAAATATTTATATTAGTAAATAATTAAATTATAAATAACATTAATTAGGTACTAATTACAGATGAACAGAGAAATGAAACGCACTATACCTCAGTTAACGAGGTGCTGTTCCATCAATTTTCTCTTCTTACATTGGTGAAGTAAGCATAATAGACGATAGTCATACTATTAAGAATTAATTATGAATAATTAATACATTAATGTAAAAAATTGTTATATTTTATCACAATAGTTTAAATGTATTAATTTAAAATATATTAATTATTGAATTAAAAATATGATTTAGTACTACTATTTTTTTTTAATTTTAGCCCTTAGTTATTAATAAAAACAGACCAGTATGCAGTAAACAATTAATATGGAAAGATATTCCTGCTACTACATATATTCAGGTACATTTTTATTTAAATATCTATTAAAATAATTATAAATGGTTATAGGTACACTTGTTTTTGCTTAAATATATTTTTGTTATAGAAATGTGAATAAGTACATGAAGTAAATTCATTTGATAATCTTTTAAATAATTATAAACATTTAAACTTACCAATGGGTTGGTTGTCATATGGAAATGTGAAAGCAGTGACATTTTATTTATTAAGACATGCATTCAATGGTGAACAACTTATTGCTATAATTGAAAAACAAATAACATTTACGTCTGACCATGACATTGGATTTTATATTAAGAACAATTATCCTATTAAATATATTGATCTTGGATTAGGTTTTGAATTTACTTTTCCACTAGATGAAAAAAAAGATTGTAGAATCAATTCAACATTTTAATAATAAAATAGTTTGCACCAGTGGTCCTCATGCATCTAATTTTACTGGTATTTATCATTTATCTTTTATGATTGCGTTTATGATTTTTGTAAAATATTTACTTTTAGGTATTCAAGTTAAAACTGCATCTCTAGAACTCAATAATATATGGCGTCATGTTAAATGTCCAATGATTATTGACTATAATAAAAGATGTACATTTTGTGAAGGTTTATATTCAACATTCAGAGTATATCAAAAAAGATCTTTGGAGGCAAAGTCCAAATATATAGGGCCAACTCTTACTCCAACCCGCAAAAGGAAATATTGTAAAATGTTAAAAAAAAAAATTTACAAAAATCAAATTCTAGGTAGGTACCTACTTAGTTGTATATTGTTTATTATAAAAAAGGAATGGATATAATGCAATTGCAAATTTATAATTTTTTTTTTTTATATTGCACATTTTTTTTCAAAAACATTGCTTTCAAAGACAATGTCCATTTCACACATCAAGGAATTAAAAAATTTTATATAGTTAAACAAACTTTATCAATGTGTAGTGATCCCTCACTAACGCTTATATTTTGAGTTTGACGACGTTGATGATTGAGTAGGAGAAAAGGTTGCAGAGTTACAAGTTACAACGTTATAATTTAAGTAATTTATTTTAAAGTTAATAATAATATAATGGTATTACATTTGAATATAGAAATTTGAGGACAGAGCGATAAGCGTCTGCCCGAGAGATTAGTGTTAATACTAAGTACTTACAAGTATGTACCTACGTCGTACTAGCACTGCGCTAATTCTAATTTAGATACAGACTCGTATATATACAAAGTCTCCCTTGGTTATTAGGTACACGGTAGAGACTCGGAGGTGGATCAAAGGAATACCGGCGGTTTGAAAGGTACCGGCGTAAATGTTAAAGTTATCGAATAAACCTTGAGTTGCGAACTGGTTTATTTGGCAATATGTATTATTAGAAATCGTTATGCGATTTCCAATGGTGTTCTTGAAGTATGTAATAAACCTCAGGGCGTGTTATAGTTGTTGATCAATATATCATATAGTGCAAAGTCCTTATGATGTATAATTATAGGAAAGCGACTCTGTCGGTTTACTACAAATGTTAAAAATAATTTTAAGAGTATTTTTATTGTTTTTTAAAGCATTTAAATCCATTTCCTAATTATGAATCACCATGAAATATATTTAATTTATATTTCGTAGAATGGATCATAGATGGCGTTAAAATCGCACTTGTACCAGAAGCGTTACACTGTAGTTCCATAGATGACTGTCTCGTTTAAAGTCCTCTTTATCATAGTCCGTGCTATAAATACGTATTATTGACAAAAATACTAAATAGGTTGGTAGATTACGAATTATACGATGAGCGTAAACATTATTTTGTTTTATTTTACGATCGTTGTCCTGAGTATACGGAAATGTTGTAATTTTCAGTTGCTTTTAGGAATAGCATACTTCACCTTAATTTAAAATACTGTATTTCAAATTAAAAATGAATAAAAAAAATTATCTTGGTAAAAAGTTCAGGCCATATTAAAGTAAAAAAAAAAAAAATAGAGGCAATATATTAGCGTTGAGAAAAGAAAATGTACCTAAAAAGTTGATTTAAATTTTTAGTGATTTTGAATTTTGTATTATGGTGACTATGATATTTTTTATAGGATAATAATCAGTGGCGGTTCTAGCGTATGGGCAGGGTGGGCAGCTGCCCATACCAAAATTTCTGGTGCCCATTATTTTAAAAATGTTATTTTTATACAAAAATAAGATATTTCATTATTTGATAAATTATAATGATAATTTACAAATATATTATAATCATTACATTGATGACGAACTTACTAATATATTATGTATGTGATAATGTCGCTGCTAGAGCTTGCAGCTGTTTTAGCGTTGATAGTACTATCTTAGTTCATAATTGGCGGGAGAGAACGACACCAGACGTTCGGAACGGTAGCTATCTTCATAATAGCATAACGTGATAACAAATTATTACATATTGTGTAGATATAATATGACTATTGTATTGTTTTTTTCTCATTGTGCATTTTCGTTGTTTCTATTAATTTAATATAATGAAGAGATTTTTAAATCATTTTTCCAAACATAAGGCCGAAATAACAATTGAAGGAGACACACCAAAATCTCCATCAATCCATACAAATGACTCTACAGCTAGTGAAAACACCAGTGTAAATAGTAGTATTGCTTTTAACCCAGAACCGACCAGACAATTGGTGAAACCTTTAAAAATATTAGAATTAAGTTTAAACCATGATCAACCTCCTGCACAACCAAATATTGTTTATCCTTACAAATCCATAAGTAAAAGTAAACGGTCCTTTAATAGTACTTGGTATAAACAGTATCCATGGATTGAGTACTCAATACAATTTGATCAAATTTTTTGTTATTATTGTAGACATTCTTTACCACCAAGTCAACATTGTAATCCTAATGCTGGTAATCTAACAAAATTCATAGTTATTCAGACTGGAAACATATAGGCAGTATGGCTAAAGTACATGATAAATGTGACACACACAAATTAGCATTGGCTAAATATAAAGGGTGGTGTAATTCTAAAATACAAGGCAGTGTTACAACTATGATTGACTCACAAATAAGAGTTGAAGTTGCAAAAAATAGGACAATGTTAAAAAGTTTAATAAGGTGTGCCATATATTGTGCTAGGCAAGATATTGGTTTGCGATTACATTCTGAAACAACTGAAATCCCTGAAATTGTGAATAATGATATTGCAACAGAAAACAAAGGACATTTTGTAGAGCTTGTAAAGCTATTATGTATTGAAAGTCAAACATTTTGTTCAGCTTATGAAGCGTTACCAAAGAATGCAAAATACACTAGTAAAATAATTCAGAATGATATGATAAGTGCAGCTTCAACAGTGATTGCTCAGTCTATTTTAAAAGAAGTACAAGAAGGTAGTAAAATATTCAGCTTAATTGTTGACGAAGCCAGAGACGATGCAAAGTTAGAGCAAATGAGTATTTGTATTCGGTATGTACATAATTCAGTGATAAAGGAAAGGTTTTTAGGATTTGTTGAACTCAAAGAATTAAATGCTAATGCCCTAAGCTGTAATATTAAATTATTTTTGAATAATTTTGGACTAGATTTGAGTAACTGTGTAAGTCAGTCTTATGATGGAGCATCAGTTATGTCTGGTCAGTTCAACGGAGTTCAAAAAAAAATTAAAGATATGTCAGGAAATTTGTGTCCATATATACATTGCCATGCACATACATTTAATTTAGTTTTAGTTGACGTTTCAAGAAAGGTAGAAGTACATGATACTATAGGTCTCTTGGAAGCAGTATATGCATTTCAGTCATCATCAACACTAAGGTATCAAGTATTTTTTGATAAAACTGGGTCGAAAGTCTCCATGCACTGTGACACACGTTGGGTATCAAAATTTAAAAGTATTCGTTACTTTATAAACAACTTTACATTAGTATTAACAGCATTAAAAGAGTGCACTGAAAGTTCAAAATCTAAGGAAGCTGCTGAAGCTAAGGGTTTACTAATTCAAATGAATTCTTTAAAAACTATTGTGTTACTTTTTTGTTTGGATTATATTTTGTCTTTAGTAAATATTCTATCATTAAACTTACAGACAACAACACTTGACTATAGCCGTTGTGCAAAATTGATCAAATCCACTATGGAACAATTGATCAATTTAAGGTCAGAAAAAATATTCATCAATATTTAAAATGAAGCAGTAAGTGTATTTCAGACTTCGAATATTGAACCTAACGATACACTACGTCCAACAAAAGAACTAAGAATTTCATCAACACTGGATAACTATTTAACTTATTCAACACTTGGTGCTAGTACTAGTAGAAAAGAAAAACAAAACATGTCCTCTAATGATACAGAAAATGAATTTAAAAAAGTCTTTTTCCAGATTTTAGATAATATGAATAATGAAATGATTTATAGATTTACCCAAAACAATGAAATATTGAATTATATCCATGCAAGTGACCCCAAATCAAGTGAATTTCTAAATTCAGATTTGTTAGTTAAATTAGGTGTATCAACCATATACAACTAATGACTTTATAGAAGTATTGAAGAACCAGTGTCTGATTGGAAAATCTTTATTTTTGGATAATTTAACATTATCTGACCTACATCAACAAATAAGCAACTACGTTGAGACTTTTGGCCATGTAAAAAAAATAATTGAATTGGTCATGGCCATTCCTGTGTCTTCAGCTAGTGCAGAACGCAGTTTTTCCACCATGCGCCGTGTTAAGACATATTTAAGATCGACTATGAAGAGTTCACGATTAAGTAGCCTTACACTTTTATCAATTGATTTTGAAAACTCAGATAAATTATTAAAAGATCCAACTGCTGTTCTTGAAGTGTTTGCAAGCATGAAAAACAGAAGAATACAATTTCAAATTTAGCTTACTATTTTTCTTAAAATTAGTTTGAACAGTCTGAACTTTTTTGACAGTTAAATTTAAATAAACATAACTATATATAATTATTTCAAAACTATGGATTACTCTATTTTTTTTATATTTAAAACCTTTATTACCTATCTATTATAATTAATATGAATATTTTAAGCTATACACTATAATAATAATACTATAATTTTATTAAAAAAATTTTGTAGGGAAGGGGGAGGAAATAAGAAATATTATTTGCAGTTAAAACCTAATTTTAAATCTACTGTTGCCCATACGAAAATTTAGTCCTAGAACCGCGCCTGATAATAATATAACTAACTTAGATACTTCTCCGCGCAACATGTTGCCAATAACTAGTTGTACTGACACTGCAGTTGGTCGTGATAACATGTAAGTGAATATATTTAGTACCTATAGTTCATTCATTGTTTTAGATTTTTAGCGGAGCGATGAATGTATTGATTTATAATATAATAATATAATATAATGATGTGTGTTTTTTTTTATTTATTTATTTTATTCTATTTTGTGTCTGTCATCACCTTTTAGGATAGTAAAAATGCTTAGATATTCTTCAACAGTATTTTTTCTGATAGGAAAGTGAACGTAGTTGGTACTTTGAGGGGCCAAAAGTAAAAATTTCTCTGCAGTTGTTCTCAAAAGCGCCGTGAAAAACAAAAGAAAAATTAAGGAAAAACGGGAATTTTTACGCAAAATCTGTATTCGAGTAAATCGATTTTGGTTTTTGGTTTAACTCTGAAACAAATGACCGTAGGTACATATAATTTTGACTGAATGTTTATTCTAGCCTTTTCTATACATGACAACATTTTCAAAATATTTTGACTTGTTTTGAGCTGCTTACAGATGTACTTAGTTTCCAACATTTTTTTCTATGAATGTCAATAAAATTTTATTTGTTGGCCCAAAAATCAAAGGAGATATATTGAAAAAAAAAATGTATAATTAATCCTAGGTATAACTCATAATGTTTTAGTATAATGTATTTCAAACGTTAGGTATTGAATTTGTTAAAAATACTTAAAAACCTTAATACTTTTTTTTAGACCAAAAATAAAAAAAAAATTATCTTTGGCCCGGATTCTGACTGTGGGGCTGTAGATGAACTGGGATGTCAACCTTTAACAATGACAAAAGAAAAATTTGAAGACAAAAGAATTGAATTTTTAGATAATTTAAAATTAAATGAGACTGATATTTTGAAATTAGAAAGCCAAACTACTGATCAATCTATTAATGATGAATGGAAAAAAGAAAGACTATCCAGATTAACAGCTTCCAATTTTGGAAAAATTTGCAAATTGCGTAAGACTACCGTAAGAAAAAATACTGTAATTTCCATTCTCTACCAATCCTATTTTTTCCATGGAACTACTGCTACTAGGTAAATTGTAATATTATAATATTATATATATTTTATTTATTATTAATATTATACTTTACTTACTTTATTTTATAGTTACGGAATTCAATTTGAATCAATAGCAAAAACAGAGTTTGAACCATGTACAACTGTAAAGTACTTCCAGCTGGTTTATTTGTTGATTTTAATTTACCGTTTTTAGCTGCAACGCCAGATAGCCTAATTGGAAATGATGCCATAATCGAAATTAAGTGTCCATACTCAGCAAAAGATTTTTCCCCAAACGATGCTAAAAAACAAAATAAATTAAATACCATATGGAAATAGATTCAGAAAATCTTATTTTAAAGAAAAATCATAATTACTATTTCCAAGTTCAGGGACAATTACACATAACAAAAAGAAGGCTATGTTATTTTGTAATCTGGACACCTAAAGGTAAAAATATGATTATACATTTTTTTGTGCCTATTGCATACGAATTACATTTTTCAATTTGTTACTATTTAATTCATGTATTAGGGATTTCTGTGGATAAAATTTATCGTGATGATAAATTCTGGGATGACAAAATGGAAACACCATTATCGGAGTTCTACTTAAATTATTTATTGCCAGAAATAATTGATCCAAAATTTTCTCCTGACAAGTAACAATATGTTTTGTTTTATGTAAAATTATTTTCAAATAAAATGAAATAACTTAAGTACGTACCTACCCTATCCGTCTATGATTTTTTGTTAGTATTATTAATTTATAATTATATAATATTATACTAGTTAGGTACCACTATTACTAAATATGGGTAATATAAATTGTGTAAAGTACTTTTTTATGTATAATATAATATAATATAGGTAATCATCTCAAATTTAATGTACATTAATTATTTTCATAATATTTACGTACCTACTGTTATTATGTCCGACCCGCGAGGCCGCGACCGTCCATAAACCAGATAAGAAAAAACAATGAATTGTAAATTGATGTGGGTCGTGGGTGATGGTAGGGGAGTATACGCACACTAATTATCATTTACTACACACACAAAGACGATCATTGATCGAAGGAACCAGGGGTGGATCTAGAAATATGAAATGGGGGGGGGCTATAAATTGTATTACACAAAGACAAAATATATGTATAATTTTAGTACGTATGTATATTAATTATAATATATTTTAAAATAATAAAAAAGATAATAATAAGTGCATTAGTCTTTTGACCAATCTTCAGTTTTCATTCGCCTTTGCTTCTGTCGAGAAAATATATTTATGACATCGTCAATATCGATGGGTATTTCTTTATGTATATGCAGCACTGCTAACCCATTTAGCCTGTCTTCTGTCATAGAAGATCTCATGTAATTGTTCAGTATTCCTAAGGAAGAAAATGATCTTTCAGCTGTTTCTGATGTTATTGTAATTGTTGCAAAAATTTGTAGTAATATTTTAATGTTTGGGTAAAATACCTTATAATGCAACAATGTTTCAACCGCAGTTTGGGGCTTTGGATTTTCTGTGTTGGCCCATTTCGTCTTCCAGAGTTCTAATTCAGCTTGTATTTCCAAGTGAGAATTAGCTGGTATATCTTCATCATACATTAATGATTTTAATATCTCTTCTGTTTTATACTTATTATTGTTAGCAGGGATCAATCCTTCTAATGGAATAATATCTTTGAATATATCATTAAATCTTGAATTTAATTCTGTTATAAAATGGTCAATAAAGGGAATATAAATAGTAATTCTGAACCAATCTTCAGGATTTGACATCTTAATATTACATATTTCTATTTGTTTGCCGACCACACAGCCTAGGAATTTTTATTTCTTCTCCAATTTTTGATGCTACTTCAGATGCATTTTTAAAATAGATAGAAAATTCTTCATCACAGTTATTTCTCTTCGCTTCAAATATTTGAATTACTTCTTTAACATGTGAGAATGCACTAGATAAATCTTGTTTTGGACTTTGTAGTCTAATACTTAAATCTTTAGTGTAGGATAACAAATTTGCAACTATTTCTAAACTGACAAGGAAATCGCTTCTTTTTATGGAAGAACTGAAGCTTACTGCTTTAGTTGATATTTCACGGTCAAAATCTTCTTCAATTATATCAAGAGCATTCACGATATATGGGAAAAGTTCACGAAAAGTAATAATTCAGTCATACTTACTGTTTTTCCTATGGATTCGTCCTCATTTTCTTTCGATTGTTTTCGAAAAAATGAAAATATAGGTTTAGTTTTCCTTTTCTTTTCTTCCATTTTAATGTTGACTTGGATATAGTTATATAAAATTACGTGTACTTCAGTACTTACGCTAATAAATAGAAAATTGTATAAATAATAGTACAAAACTGAAAACAATAACAAAAATACCGGAAGATGAGTGATAACAGTATACGACGTTCAAACAACTGATCGGTTTGCTTACAACCATTTCATTTTGATGGTTACAAATTATCAGTTACCTAAAAACAAAATATAGCAACCAGGTTACATTTGGTTAAGCGCGAAAACACGCCTATTTTATGTTTGTTGACATTTCATGTCGGTATCTTATAGCGTTTTCCATCTTACTGCACTATCTAGTGCACACCAAGGTTTATAGATAATACAGGTTGCCTCAAAGTCGTGTAAATATTGCCTACCCTCTGCAACTCCTATATGCCGCGTGACGTCATTGTCGTACAGAGTCTGTACGACTGTACATTGTACATAATATATTTCTAGTGTTTTACCTTACTATAATTAATTAACTAATTATTTGTATCTTATTTATTTAATAAAACAGAACAGGGAAATACGAAAATACGTTCTATTATACTATAATTGGAACTATATAGGTATTTATTACTTAAATTGTATACTTTTAACAAAGTTTAAAACAAGTGATTTAAACAACATAAAAACAGAAAAATATATATTATAAGCACATCTATTTATTAATTTTTTGTAACAATAAATTATTTTTTTATGGTTAGTAAACAAATTTATAAAATGTATAATAATAATTAAGATATTTCTTTCAAATTAATCAATTTTTATTTTTCGTAAGTTCATTTTATCTACACTATAATCGTACATAATAAATTACATAATATTTTTTTTAAACCCGTTTAAATCATATTTTAACATGTTTACAAGGTTGAAAAGGTAATATTTAAAAAGACACAATTAAAACAGTTTTTTTTTTTTTTTTTAAACATGTTTTTTAACAACTCTGATACATGATAATGCAGGTAATAGGAAATAATAGCTACCAATAAAATACACTAGTACTTAATACAAATATATAATTTTTTAAAAAGTACTGGTAAAAACTTTTGTATAAGTGTTTTTATCCAAGTGTTATCAGAAAAAAAATAATCAAAATCATAATATCATTGTAAAAGCACTTCACTCAAATCTAAAATACAAATATATTCAAATAAAATAATATACATAATAAAAATATATACATAATACAATTTATACAGCTATAATATTGGAATTTATTGGTAATACAAAATTTATTGGGATTTGAACATAATATATACATAATCAAGTTATTGTTTTTCTTAATTTATTTAATCTTTGTAGCCTCATTTTAGATTTTTTTATTTTTTGCATAGAAGTTAAATTTTGATTAAAATATTTCATACGTATGATTATCCTCTGTTTTATATAAGTTTGAATCAGAATTTTATTTTTGTCATCTGTTATCACTCTATTATAAATTTTATTTGTTAATTGTTTTACAATATATCGTCCTGTAGGAATTTGTCCTTTTGTAAATTTTATAAATAATTTTTCACACCGTAGAATTAAGTTCTTGAAATTACTACTAGGAACTATCAATCCGCCATAAGATAAATGCTGCACCCATGTTGGTAGTGTATAATCATGACAAGTGTTCCCTAATACATAAGTCGTTGATCCAAGTTCAGGATACTTCTTTCTATATTTTTTTGCAACCCAACCGATTAAATACTCTACTGCATCTTTTGTCATATTTCTTTCTGACATTGTTCTTCTTCTGTATTTGATGTATTTAGTGTCTCATCATCACTACTATCATTTGTATCACTTACACACTTTTCATCTTCGTTTATGGTTATATCTGCATCTTTTAACATTTTTGACACTAAAAATTCCTCGTTATTTTTGTCACATGTATTCGAACTACAAGTTATGCCAGGATTTTTCCCAAAACTATCATCCTCAATCTATACTATGCATTTAATGGGGTAGGATGATCGTTTAACCCTCCTCTAGACCTGACCTGAGAAAACAAATTCTCCAAAGCATCTTGATTGATTTTACTGGTTAATAAATAATTGGGACCATATTCTTTTAATATTTTAAGAAGGTAACGAGTCCCATTAATATACTTAAGAATACCTTTTTGAAATATTTGAAGACTGTTTTTACCATTACACCTCATATTAAATATTGTATCATAGACTTCATCAAAAAGTGAATCTTGTTCCTTCATAAATGTACCATATGGTGCTTTAAACGGTGTATTATTATTATTTGGATGGGATACATTTGCCAGATCAAACCAATTATTTATTAGCTCAAAGAAATTAGCCATATCATCATTCAATTTTATGTTTTGAATAGGTTTATTACAAACTTGGCTTCAATGCCGTTGCTGTTGTGTGTGACAAAAGTTGAGTTGCTAGTTTCACTTTTTGTCTTTGTGGTCCTTCACATGTCAAATGATCCGAACTTAATTTGTGACATACATTCAGTTCTGCTGACATCATTGTAACTAATGCTTCTAATGGTTCTTTAATGATTATTTTATCATTTATGTAGAAACCTTTATCCAACATCCAATTACGGGTAAGTTTTAACAGATGAGGTGCATCTGGTACACAAACAATTTTTCTTCCATTTGGAATTTGGAACACAGGTTGTTCATAGTTAACTCCTAATTCATTCCACAACCCTAAGTTTCCTCCACCGCAATCGCAGACACAACAAATAACTGTATATCCTATTTGATCAAGTTCTTGAATAACATTAAACAATATTGATTTTGTCATTTTTGTATCAAAATCAATCATAACAGGCTGTTTCCAAGGTGAAGCAATGCCACGTGCCATTACTACCTGCATTTGATTGTATGGCCCAAGAACTTGATCGTGGAGGACTGACACGGTATGCAGCGGCAACCAGTACAAAGTACAGGTACCGCAGCGGCTGGTCTACGCTTTTGTCAACCGCCACCACGGGCTACAGCGCGACATCGCCAACTCTCCCACCACGCCACAAAGGCACAAGGCGGGACGGGAAGGCAAGTCGCGCAATACGAGTACCGGCCGCCGGTTAGGTTAGGTTAGGAAATTCGCTCTCTCGACCGTCAAAGTGTCAACGCGACACACGTGTCCTCCGTTTCTGATATAATAATATCCAGACACCGTATATTTATATTACCGCGTTTGTACGAAAATAATTAACCACGACTCCGTCGATATTTCGTTTGTTTGAACTACCACGTTTCACCGTGAAATAGTGTCTGTGAAAAATAAGAATAAATCACTTTCATCACCACAGTCGTTGTTACATTGTTTTCTTCACCACACCTCACCATCACATTGCGACCGGCTCACCGCGGACACCACTCCGACACCGCCGTAGCCGCGTCAAATTGGCTCCCCGCAGAGGAATCTCCTCAAGTCAGCGACAAGGTAAGAGTTTCCACGCTGACACATACCTCGGATTAATTGCTTATATTTAATTAGTAATAAGTTATTCGACCAGGAGTGTGTTTGCCGGTTAGCTAGGACCCCATAGAGAACATTACGTAACAATTATTTTTAGTACGTAACAGGGAAATCCGCGCAGCCGTGCATAACCGTGATACGGATTGGGAAGTAGTTATATAACAACCACCACCCCTCCGCAACGCCTACCTTTCGCACCGCGACATTATCGCCGATAACAACAGAGCGCGCAGGCCGAAAACCGGTTCAGCCGCCGCAGCCGACAGCTGCCACCCCAGAGGTCGTTGACCCGGTACCACTATTTTTGGTACGCAACGGCGGCACTGTCGTCAGCTGATCTGTTACACAATCATAAATAATAAATATATAAATTGTCGTAGCTAGCGCGCGAAATTTATCGAAAAAACAAAAAGCCTCCTCAAAACCGTGCACACTGAGCAACAAGTACAATCCACTGACCATACAACAGCGTAACGACCACATCGGTAAACAATTTTACACAATGTCGGAAAAAACGTTACAGCAGTTGTCGTCGGCGGAGCTACGTAGCGAGTGCACGGCCCGCGGCCTCAGCGCGTCCGGGACGAAGTCGGATGTGTACGTCCGGCTAGAGGAGCACCTTAGGGCAAGCGGACTAGTCCCCGAGAATGTGAGGTTCGTAACAGTGCAGCCTGTAATCGTAGGATTACAAGGCAGTACTGAACAACAACAACACACGACATCAGCGCTGGAAAACACGAACGCCAGCCAGATTTTCGGACAACCGTCTGGGGGAATTTCGACAAGCCCAACAGCAAGTCAAAAACCCACAGACAACCGGTCAGAAATCTGCGGCTTCCAGTCGACCATGCAGCAGGGCCAGTCCGCACAACCCTTAAAAACCGACATTTTCAAAACCTCGGCGAAACAGCTACATCAGTTAAAATTAATGTTGCCACAAACGAACGACTCAACATCGTTCGAGGCACGTTTAGGGGCGTTGGAAGCGAGCATGACGCGGTTCTTCACAGAATCGCGCCAGGCAACCACCCAACCGCCAAACAGTGTAGCGGCACCGCGGTTAGATAACCACCCGTCCCCCGTACAGATACCAAATCGTACACACGATAGTCACCAGTCGGGTAGGTCATATGAGCTCAATGACGGTGGCGCTCAACACAGCGCCAGCCACATTGCCGACGCGAACAACCGACCGTTCTTCGCGCTCGAAACTAATGACTATACGGGTCACATCACACGCGCGTCACAATACGCGCCGTACGAAGCACGCGCGCATGAACGCTCGGACTTATACCGTACGAGGACTTGCGCACAGCAAGAGCTTCGTTACCCGAGTTCTCAGGAACAAGGGCCGAGGGGCGAGGACCCCGTACGGTACATTAATAATACCGAGTCGATTTTGGTGCAAGCTCGTATACACTCCTCGGGCTGGTGCAGGGCGGTCGAGCCGCAGTTAAAAGGAACGGCGAGTGTATGGTACGCATCCATAAAAATACTCGACCTATCCTGGGAAGAATTTAGGGTTGAGTTTTTAGAAAATTACAACAATTCCGAAATCCAATCCCAACTGCGTGCCGACATCGTGTCAACACGACAAACGTCTAGACAATCGCTAACGGAATTTGTGCTAGTTAAAAACCAGCAAGCGCGCCGCGTAAATACCGGCCTATCCGAGTCGGAATTAGTAGGTATTATAGCAGGATTAACACGCGACACTTTCCGAACACACATCCGTCTTCAACGGCCATTGACGTTCAACGAACTACGACGCATCGCAGGCGTTTTGGACCCGGTAACGGACAGCACCAACCCGATCCCCCAACAATGGGCCCCAAAACCCAAAAAAGGGGCGGAAACCCCGCAAACAGCCGCCCCGGTCAAAAAAAAATTTTATAAAAAATCAACAGATGATCACCCACTGGGGCCGTGCAGGTATTGTAGGGAACTCCACTGGAACAGTAAGTGCCCACACAAACCGACCACGTCGGGAAACGGCGGGGGAGTCGACGGGGACTAGTCCCCCAAATCGACTCAGCACCACCCCCCACCCATCACCAACCACTATCGGTAGTACACACGGAAAAAAAAACACGTAGGTAATCGAAAAACGCGTAGTACGGTAATTCAACACACAGAAAAACCAACTACGAACATTTTTTCCTTCTCATCACCAATCGGCACCCGTTCACAGACCCCCAAACTACACCACCCCACCACAGAACACACTCACCTCACCGGTGACATGTGTGTTCAACAACAACCGGCTCATGGGGCAGCCACAGGTGTAGGGACAAAGGCAACAGAGACACGGGTGTTCACCTGCACAGGTGACGGGGATACAAGCACACACACCACGCTTATCCCAGCATTAGGTCAGTCTGCGCACGTAAAGCAAGAGGCGAGCAACGAGGCAACCGACGTTGACAGTATGGTCATGGCGGTTGACACCGACGACCAGACAGTTCCCGTCGCGGTTAAGAACCAATTGTCCCACTCGACCGATTGCACTACGACTAATAATGATACGCGAACACGCCCAGACAAAATTCCGACCCCCGTGGTCGAGCTCGAATTTCCGTCAGGCTTCGTAACAGCTCTATTAGATTCGCAGGCACAAAAATCGTACGTAAACCCGACAGTAGCCCGTAAATACGGCAAAACACCTCCCCACGGACCAACAAACACAGTCCGGATGGCGGACGGTCACACTGCAACAACCAGTGGCACCTCCACATTCGAAGCTAGGATAGGTACACTCGATATAAAATTCGAAGCTACCATCCTAGACAATTTGTATTGCGACGCGTTACTAGGACACGACTTTCTTGTAACCAATGAAGTCTCTTGGGATTACGCCGCATGCACAATTCACATGGGTAGGCAAATTCGTACGTCGACATGCTGGAAAGGGAAACCACAACCACCCGCCACTCGTCCCGACTTGTCACAATTACAATTTGGAAACGACCCCGAAACTCGCGCGAAACTAACCAAGATTCTAAACAAATACGCGGTAGTATTCAGCGAAAAACAAAAGTAAATAATTTAAAATTTGTATAGAATCTAGGAAGTAATAATTATGAATTTATTTACCTGGAAGGGGATAATGGAGTTCATTCTTAACATAAATATATGCACGTTTACTTAAATATCTCAAAGTAAACGCTTGAGATATTTCATCCCTTGACCAATTGGCTCGTTTCTTTTTTTTCATAATTATGTCCACTTGATTAGATGAAAAAATTGAAGACAGATATTGTTTTGCTGTTGTTTCAATAGTTCTTTTTTTAGTTTGAGACATCATTTTTAGTTCTTTAGATATCTTAGTTTGTGTTTGTTTTAATAACAAATTAGTTTTCTTCAAACTATTTTGTAAGAAATTCATATTATAACGTAGAGATTTGTTAATTGTTTTATAATCAGTATTACATGATTCTTTAAGTTTATTATTTAAAATGGAATTTTCATCAAGCAATTTTTTATATAACATCTCATAATCGGGTACTGCATTAGTAGTTTCTACATTATGATCTGCATGACATTCTGTCAATAACTCTTTAGAGTGTTCTACCATTGACTGTTCAATTATTTGATTATGGCTCTGTAAAAATATTTATGATTCATATTTATATTAGTATGGTATAAAATGTCATTGAAAATACAAAATTTAAATAACTAATTTACAAAATAACAATTATCATATTAACATTTTTTTATTTTAATATAAATTATTACTACTTGTTATATTATATTATAATTATTAACCTGTTTTGATAATTTTGCCTCCATCTTATTCTTTCGATTAATAGCAGATACTGATGGTCTACTATCATAAGGTAAATTCAACGTAGGAACAACTCCT